TGGTCATAGTACACAGTGGTCATGGTACACAGTGGTCATGGTACACAATGGTCATAGTACACAGTGGTACAGAATGGTTGCGGTACACAATGGTCAGGGTACACAGTGGTCAGGGTACACAGTGGTCAAAGTACACAGTGGTCACGGTACACAGTGGTCAGGGTACACAGTGGTCAGGGTACACAGTGGTCAAAGTACACAGTGGTCACGGTACACAGTGGTCAGGGTACACAGTGGTCAGGGTACACAGTGGTCACAGTACACAGTAGTTATGGTACACTGTGGTCAGGGTACACAGTGGTCATAGTACACAGTGGTCAAAGTACACAGTGGTCAAATTACACAAGGTCGCGGTACACAGTGGTCATAGTACACAGTGGTCATGGTACACAGTAGTCATGGTACACAGTAGTCATGGTACACAGAGGTCAGGATACAGCGTGGTCAGGGTACAACTTCTGATTCGCTCAAGCTAATTTAACAAAACTGCATACACATTTTTCCCATCACTCGATGGCATGCTACATAATCTTTCCATTACACCAGCTCTAAGGTCAAGGTGAAACATCAAGGTCAAATGTTATACAGGGTCATTACTATAGATTTCTGTATAATAGTTTGTCGGCAGGCGTTTGATGTGTCATATATGACACCTTTGTTCATGCTTATGTCATGTATCATTCTGTCAGAAGAGGTTTGTGTTCGTTAATTATTATTTGGGTATTGCTCTGCCAGGTGGAGGTCAGAGGTCAGGATGGAAAGCTGCTCAGTGCGTACAGCTTCACTCACCTGACGCTGCAGGAGTTTCTGGCTGCTTTAAGGATCATGACGAGTAACGACGTTAGTGACGCACAACTCAAGAAGAGGTGAGGAAGTGAGTTCATTAAAGCCAAATTATCTTCAAAAGGAAAAGTTAAATTCTCGAGTCTTTCTTTTCCTCGTTGTTTTTTCAGGTTCAGCCTGAAAACTCGCTGGACCACCAGGTCAGACCAGAAGACCGTGTTCACCGACTCCCTGTACCTGTACGTGTGCGGTCTGGCGTCCTCGCGCTGCACTCAGGCTGTGGTTCAGGTAGCCCGGGCATCAGGTCTGAAAGGAGTCCAGAGCTGGGTTCAGAAGCGCCAGGACCTGGTTCTGAACCTACTGAAAGCTCTGTGTCACAACAACACTCTGACCGGACCAAAGGTGGAGTGAAAAAAACATCAAACCTGGTCAAGGACATGAGGACTACCCCTCTAATGTTTCTGTCTTTGGTTCTGACAGGTATTACAGCTGTGCCACTATGTCCAGGAGAGTCAGAACCAACAACTGGCCCATCAGGTTGTGAGCGTGAGGCCGACCCTGGAGCTGAGAAACTTCTGGCTGTTACCCAACGACATCCATGCTTTGGCTTTTGTTGCCAACTCTGCTGGAGACGACGGCGTTGGTTTGGACTTCGGTTCGTGTTCGATGGAGCTGGAGTGTTTGGACATTCTGACCACGTGTCGGAACATTCATCACCTCAGGTGGGAGGACCAAAACACAAAAATGATCTCAATACATAAGAGAGGTTCTCTGATCACCACAGCAACAACAGGATTTAAGGCACTTTTGGACAGTTTATGTACTGACAGCACTCATCCCTGACGGGGAGGATGAATTATAACTTTCCTGACGTGCACGCCTTCATTTTATGAAGGATTACTCCTCTTGTTCTGTTTTAGGAGGAACAGCCCAGGCGCTAAACATTCATGCAACCTGCATGTAGCAGACAGAGCTGCTCTTTGAGGATCTGCTGCAGCTATTTCTGTAAATATAGGAAAGTGTTTCCTCTAAATTCAGCGTAGTACCTCTTTAATAATGAGCAAACACACCAGCCAGGTGCTGTTTGGTAACAGCCAGGCGTGAGAGACAAAGCTCCTCCTGTGAGGACTTGGATGTGCAGAATATCAACCCTTCAGGTGGAAGAGTTTTATGAAGTGATCACCTGTCAGAGCTTTACGTTAGACTGGAGGTGAGCTTCGTTCTGACGTTCTGGTGAACTGTCTTTGACTTTTAATCCGCTCAGCTGCGTTCTTAACTCTGATCAGGACTCAAAGGAACCTGCAGGAACGTCTCAGAAATCAGTCTGTAGAACTAACTGAAGCTCTTCAGCTCCTGCTCAGACCAGCAGCTCAACACATCAGAGCTGCAGTGCGTGTTCATGGCCCAGAACGTGTTTGTTTTAGTTTGTTTTACTCATTTAGACACGAAAACATAAATCTAAACAGCAAAAGTGCTGCTGATTAAAATATTCTGTTGATTAGAGATGTAAGAGGTTCTTTGGAGGTCAGATCAGATCAGCCAACGGTCTTATTACTTGTCTCATGAACCCAGTTAAAGGTCCTCTGACATGCAGGTCTGCGCTTAATGTAAACAAAGCAGTCACATGATCGACCTGCATTAGGCTGGTTGTAGTGTGTTTACACTCCTTAACAAGTTTAACCTGTTTTTATTCTCTTCAGCTGTTCCTGTAGGTAAACCAACACACTCGGTAGTTTTTATTTAAGGACACAGTAATCACTGATATGAAAAAAATACTGCAAAGATTTTGTTTTTTACGTAATCCTTTGTTTGTGTGTGTTGTTCATGGCTGTGCAGAGCGTGGCTTTAAAGCTGCTGATGGTCTGAAAACACTCTGGATCTTTAAAAAGTGAATGTCTTGGTGTTTGGATGAAGGTGGCTCCTGAGTGAGCAGCTTTGTCTTCTCTCCGTCCAACAAAGACCATTCAGAGTAATGTAGTATTTTAATTCCACAGTAGAGAAAGCTATGTAGTCTCTGTAAGTAGGTCTAGCGAAAAAATTATATATATATATATATATATATATATCGGTATTGGTTATTGGCCAAATAATTCAATATTGTGCATCCCTAATAACATCTCTTCATGAAATGAGGATAATGAATTACAACAATTAATTTCCCATTGGGATTAATAAAGTATTTTTGAATGAGTTGATGTATTTTGCAAAATAAGATAAAATTGTGAAGTAACACAGATGTTGGATGATTTCTTCATTACGTGGTGATACGTTTTTAATAAAAAAACATTGCCTGAATATAAGTAGGTTTAAGTCAAATGTATTTTTATTCCTTCAGGTATATTTCGCTCTGCCTTGCGGTGCTTTTATAGTTGATTATTATTTTTTTTTTTGCACATCCCTTGCTGCCGGCTGCTTCTCATATTCATAAAGCAAATATTGATGCAAACACAGCGATCCAGTCCTGCGGGTTTAAGAAATTTAGGTTATCTTTGCACCAGATCACAGCTGTCCTCCATGCGCGATCTAAATCTAACCACCTGTCACAAACAGAAGGAACAACGGTGGCAAATAAAACTGTTTTATTGTCTTTCTCTTCAGTTTTCACAGCCGTAAGTATGGTGACAAGTTTGCTGGGAAGCTGTCAACGATTGTCCCAGAGTTCACAACCCTGAGAAAGCTCCAGTAGGTTTTCTTGTCTTTTTTTACTGAATTTATTTATTAGAAGGAATCGTCTGTTCTAAGATGTGATGTTTTTCCTCTGAAGGTTTTGTGGTTCCAGTCTGACGGCTGCAGGGGCGGCCAGTCTGGCCTCTGGTCTGCAAAACTGCCCCTCCATCAGCGAACTCAAGTAGGTTTTCTGTTGAGACTGATGGTTCTGAACAAACCAGAACCAGAAACTGGGTAAGGATGAAGCAGAGTCATACGTTTTATCTCCTGCTTTAGTTTCAGTGACAACAATCTGCAAGATGAAGGAATCCAACACATCGCTGAGATTTTTACCAAACTACCGAACCTGACTTCTGTAACGTACGTCTTTTCTGTGGATAAACTTGTGTTTTTATCCGTTCAACGCTGTTTAAAACGTGTTTTAAAAATATTTTAAATGTGTGAATGTCTGTGTTTCTGTCCAGGCTGGGGAGAAACAACACGTCTCTGAAAGCTGTGGGCTGTCTCGTAGACAAAATGTCTTCCTGTTTGAACATCCAGAGAGTTCATGCAGAGTATGAACACGCACACACACACACACACACACATACACTCACACCTATTTGGCTACAATAAACTGTTCATTGATTGAATGTGTTTTGTTGGTTTGTTCATGAATTAAATTTGATTTTTATTCATGTCTAGAGCAGGGCTATTCAAGTGGTGGCCCGCGAGCCACTTCCGGCATGAGTGACTTCAGTCAGTTCATTTCTTAGGGGGTCGGGGTGGTTCTGGGTTTTTGTTTTGGGTTATATTTATTGCATTTATGATTCAATGCAACAAAACAAACTAATTTAAAAGGTAACGTTCATTGTAATACATGGTTTATTTACATAATGACTTTAATCACTGGACGTCCAGCCCATGGAGCGAGAGATGGATGAACGAATCGGAGCCGCCTCCTCAGTAATGAGGGTGTTGCCTTAGTCACTTGTGGTGAAGAAAGGGTTGAGTTGAAAGGCGAAGCTCTGAACTTACTGGTCCTTCTACATTCCAACTCTCACTTGTGGTCCTGAGGTTCGAATCAGGACCAAACAGAACCAGATCCTGGCTGTAACGAGCTTCCTTTGTAGGGCGGGCTAGCTCAGCCTTAGAGATGGGGTGAGGAGCTCCATCATCTGGGGGGAGCTCGGAGTAGAGCTGCTGCTTCTTTGCAACAAAAGGGGTCAGTTGAGGTGGTTCAAGCATCAGATTAGGACGCCTCCTGGTCTCCTCCTGTTAAAAGCTTTACATTCATTTCCCACTGGGAAGAAATCCCAGTGCAGGCCCAGAACTCTCTGAAGGGAACGCATATCTTCTCTGGTCTGGGAACGCCTTGAGATCCCCCAGAGGGAGCTGGAGATTGTCGCCTTGAAACAAGGATGTCTGTGTTTCCTCCTGGACCCGACCACAGTTAAGTGGTAGAAGATGGAGATCACACATAACAACATTTACAAAGTTTGACTGAAGCGACTATTATTTTTCACAAGTTGATCTCAGTCCAAAACTCAGGCCTCAGCGGGGGGTGAGACGCATTCCTTCCAGTAAAGCCTGTTAATTAATTAGTCATGTATTATACGTAATCAAACATTTAGATTGACAGAAACTGATATTTTCCACCTTTTATCTTCTCAGTGGGGTGAAAGAGCTAACAGTAACCTTCTGTCAGGGCTCAGATATTAACAGGTGAGTTTTATGGTTGAATTAAGCAAATAAAACAATAAAACGAACAAATGAATATTTGAATCTCTTTTATGTTTTATGTTTGCAGCCATAAAGTCAACCCAGAGCCAGCAGTCAGGTTTGAAGTTACTGTTAAACTTTTACTGTTTCCTTCAGGAACTTTGTTCCTCAACAGAAGTATCACGTTCAGCTGATGGTTTAATAAAGATCTTTCAGAAAGTTTTACACACTCTTGGCATTATTTTGTGTACTGTTGATGACAACAGTTACAACTGAGCCAGATGATTTTTTTAAATTAACAGTTTATGTTCAATTTATTTAACTTTGCTTTACCTTTGTGACACTGTCTTCTCGTTGAAGGTACAGAATTACAAGCTGTTTTTATTTTATTGTAGATATGTTTTTTCTTTTCTCCAGCTTGTTGAATCAGAAGTGGACTAACTCTGAAATGGAAAAGCTCGTCCAATCTCTGGCTAACTGTCCTGCTCTTTCGGTCCTGAAGTACGTAAAATCTAAAAACACTTTCACGGTTCTTAAAAAGCTTTGAGTTAAAACCACAGACTGGAATGAAGCGGAGAAAAGACCAGAAACAATCAGAACCTTGTTCACAATTCACAGTATTTTACTCTTATTTTCTTATTTGCACTTTTATTTGCAGTCTAGTTACTTCTGCAGACTTTGTTCTATTTTAGCTGTTCGTACAACAAAACATTCAGCTCATTCAGGAGATGGGTGCTTTGCCTTTTGGCTTTTGTAACTTTTGCAGTTTTCTAAATAATTCACTTTATTTACAAATATTTTCCCATAGAAATACATTGAGATCCCTTTAGTTCCTTCAAAAACAATGTTCTTTTTGGAAACAGCTTCAACTACTGGCTCTGTTTTTATCTATTTGTACTTTTAGCTAGTCTTTTGCTACTTTTACCTTTCGGTTACTGTTCTGCTAGTTTTAGCTTTTAGCAAACATTTTGCTCCTTTAAGCTCTTAAATAGCCTTTTGCTTCTTTTACCCAACTACTGTTCTGCAAATTTTAGCATTTAGTTAGCCTTTTGCCACTTTTAGCTCTTAGCCTTTTGTTACTTTTAGCTTGGTGCATATAGCAAGTGTTTAGCTACTTTCAGCAAGCATTTTTCTATTTTAATATTTTAGCTACTTTGCCACATTTTGCTTTTCACTGACCTTTTGTTATTTTACCTTTAGGCTATTGTTCTGCTAGTTATGGCTTTAAGCTAGCCTTTTGCCACTTTTCGCTCTTAACAAACCAGTTCTACTTTTAGCCAGTCTTTTGCTACCTTTAGCTTTTAGCTAATCTTTTGGTGCTTTCAGCTAGTTTGATACATTTAGCTAGTTTTTTGCTAGTTTAAACTTTTAGCCACTATTTTGCTATCATCTATACTTTTGTTACTTTGAGCTTTAGTTACTTTGATACAATAGTTGCTAATTTTTAGTTCACTGTTTTACCAATTTTAGCTTTTAGTTGCCTTTAGTAAATTTTAGGTGGCTTTATGTTACTATTAGCTTTCAACTGTTAATTTGTTTTCTCTTTTAGCCACGTGATTTGCTATCGTGAAATTTAGCTACACTTTTATTACATTTAGCTTTTAACTAGCCTTTTGTTAATTTTAGGTTTTAGCTAATTGTTTGCTGCTACATGTCCAACAAGTGTTACAGCTACAAGTGTTTAGCTATTTTTAGCTTTTGGTTAACCTTTTGCTAAATGCAGCTTTTTGATGCTACTAGCATCTTTTGCAACTTTTAGCTTTTAGCTAGTGTTCTGCTTCATTTAGCTTTATCATCTCAGTTTCTGAATCTTTAGCAGATTTCAGCTGTCGTTCAGCACTTATGGTAATATTTCTTGTTTTGTTCTGATCTGCCAAATTATCCTACACTTTACAACTGTGGTCACTGAAGCCGGTTCCTCGTACAGTCCGGTAGTTTCTGCTTCTTTTGTTTCTCCTCAGTTTGTCCGGAGGTTATTGGGACGAACAAACGTTAAAGACTCTGACTGAGTTCGTTCCAAAGTTCAGCGTCTCTGAAAAGATCATGTAAGACTCAGAAAAACAGAAACTCCAAGCTGAACGAAGCGGCAGCACGTCGTTGATTCTCATCGTTTGTCTCGCAGCTTGAACGGCAGCTGCTCATCTGTGGAGGGGTTGGTGGTTCTGACTGCGCTGCTCTCTGAGCGTCTGTCTTTGTTCGAGCTGAACGTCAGGTACAGAACCTCCTCTCATCTCTTGGCTGCAGAAACTCTGCCACCGAACGATCAACATTGTGTAGCACCGTATGTGATTCCAGAGGCCTTCCTGCTGCTCTGCCTGTTTCTGTTTCAGACTGCAGAGTCCGGTTCTGGTGTGTGTGGTGTTTCCTGGAGGGAGAGAGAAACCTGCAGCTGAAACATCTAAAAAACTCTGGTGTGTATTAATTGATTTTCATTGCACAACTCTTACAATAAATAGTTTGAGCCCAATATGTCGGTTCAGTTCTGTCTGGTTGTAAAGTTATAAAGTTACAAATTATTAATATAATAAAATCTAACCATGAATCTGTTTCCTGTCTCAGCCTCAGCTGCTGTGACCTGCAGCCCAGTGACTTGGACCGAGTCTTGAGGAGTTTGGGATCTTCTCCAGGTCTCACTGACTTGGAGTAAGCAGTTACACACTCATTTATCATTCTAATACTCTGGCAGGTTTTATTCATAATAAAAAAGAATTTTCATTCATTACTTTCTTTCCCTGCAGCTTGTCCTGTAATCGTTTAGGGGACAAAGGTCTGAAGAAGCTGTTGGACATTCTGCCTCGGCTGAAAAAACTTCGGGAAGTTCAGTAAGTTTAGCAGCTGCGATCACCACATAGTAACAGCCCTGAAATGTAAATTAAATCTTTAAAAAGTCTTCTTCTTTCAGTTTCTCCCTCTCCAGGGGTCGCCACATGTCACTTTGTCCTGTGCATCCTCTGTCCTCACTCCACCTCCATGTCCTCTCTAGCTGCATCCATATATCTCCTCTTTGTCTTTTTCCTGGCAGCTGCATTTCTAACATCCTTCTACCAATATAACCACTGTCCCTGCTCTGGACATGTCCAAACCACTGTCCCTCCTCTGGACATGTCCAAATCATCTCAGTCTGTCCTCTCTAACTTTATCTCCCAGTTGTTCAACCTGTGCTGTACCTCTGATGATCTCAGTCCTAATCTTATCCATCCTTGTCACTCCTAAGGAGAACCTCAACATCTTCATTTTTGCCACTTCCAGTTCTTTCTCTTGTCTTTTTGTCCATGTCTCTGTCTCCAGATCATACAACATAGCTGGTCTCACCACTGTCTTGTAAACTTTTCCTTTGACTGTTGAACTTTGCTGCCACTCTTTTGTCTCAAATCACTCCTGAAACTTTTCTCCATCCTGCCTGGACACCTTTTCACCTCTTTACCACACTCCCCATTTTCCTGGACAGTGGACCCCGAGTACTTGAAGTCCTGCACCTTTCTGACCTCTGCTCCTCGTAGCCTCACTCAACATGTTTACATGCGCAAAATTCTTTGATCAGATTGAAATGTATTCAGATTAAATAATCCAAATGTATCATTTACATGGACACAATCCAATCATGACAAGCGTTTACATGCAGCAGGTTTTTTTTCAGAATCGAAGTACTGACGTTCAGAGTGGTTAACTTTCCTTAAAAAAACAAAACACAGAAAAATAAGTTTTACTTCCATGATGAATGTAAACAAACCTGAGCACCCAAAATGGACCCGTGCCAGGTTTTAATGATGGTGGAGACATTATTGCTCTCCCTGACTGAGCTACAGGTAATACAGATCATTTTGAGCTCTTTCAAAGTTTCTAGAAGAAATGTTGTGTCGCTCAACGACCAGTTTTGCTTCCCAGACATGCTAATATTATTAGCATCTAGCCAGGTGGAAATACAGGAGGTTGACAGGTCGCACATGCACAGTCAGGTTAATTTTCCACAATCGGTATAAAATGATCAGATTAAGTGTTTAAGTTGTCAAGTGCACACTGTTCAGATTATGAATCGGCATAAACCACCCCTCTCATTCGGATTACAAATTCATTTGGACTGAACTGAATCAGCTCAGAATAATCCGAATGGGGCGTTTACATGATGCGTTTTTATTCCTAATGTCGGTTTAATCAGATTACTTAAGACCATGTAAACATAGCCACTGTTCCACCGGCCTCCCTCTCATTCACACACGTACTCTGTCTTACTACGGCTGACTTTCATTCCTCTTATTTCAAGTGCATACCTGCACCTCTCCAAGTTCTCTTCCACCTGTTCCCTGTTCTCACCACGGATCCTAATGTCATCTGCAAACATCAGAGTCCACGGGAATTCCTGCCTGTCCTCATCTGTTAGTCGGTCCATCACAGGAGCAAACAATAAGGGGCTCAGAACTGATCCTTGATGCACTCCCACCTCCACCTTGAAGCTATCTGTCACTCCTACAGCACATCTCACCACTGTCCTGCTGTAAATTAAATCTTTAAAGTAAACGTAATAAAGGCGAGATCTCACTGGGCTTGGTTTGCTGCTGAGAAAATGTAAACAACGTTCATGAGGGATGTTCAAATTTGTCTCCAAACATTTGCAGGGATCCCAACTTTGTGTCACTGGAGTTATAAATATGTTCTAAAAATATGGGAGATACATTTTACTCTAAAGATTATTACAGGGTCATAGCAGATATCTGGAACCTGCCTGGAACGTTTTGCAATTTAGTTTTTGTGATCATGAAGACGTGAGACAAGGAGGGGAGCGTTTGTGGATCTGTGAAACCATATTGAGACTGATAAGAGACAAACAAACAAAAAAAAAGCAGTCAAATTGAGACAATTAGGACAATTTGTGACTAAATTGGGACAAATTTGCGCATCGTTTGCAGGAAAGCCACAAATGACACAACATTTTTGGGGTTATGTACAGCTCAAGTGAAAGTTTGTATATTTTCTCTGAGGTTTGTGTCCAACAGTGGCAGCTGTCAGGGTCTGTGTTTTTTAGGGACTTTTGGTGTTTATTGTTAGAATTATTAATTTTCTTTTTATTTATTTCCAGTGTTTTGTACTCTTTGAGCTGGATCATGTCTATCCAGAGGCATCTTGTTTTGTCTTATTTAGACAGCACGGTAGGAACATGACTCGTGGATTTTGTGTCTTTCAGCGTCGGTGACAACTGGCTCAGCATGGACGGAGCGGTTCTGCTGGCTGCTGCTTTGTGCTCCAATAACAACCTGACAGAAACCCACATCAGGTATCACCAGATCTACGTTTGTTCGTGGATCTGCAGGCCGAGCGTGGAGCAGCTGTGACGTGGACACAAGCGCAGATTCATCTGGACTTTTTTGTGTTTGCTGCTGAGTAAATCCAGAATCTCAGAGAAAAACGAGTCGTTTTCTCAGGCGCTCGTCTTCAGCCACGTCCACATTAAAAAACGGGATAATTTCTTATTTATTTGTGCTTCTTTTGCACAAATAAACACATAAAAAAAGGTAGATGTGACAGTTTATAAAAACAAGTTGCATTCATGTGAGGAATCTAAAATACTGTATATACAGATTAAACAGTGCTGCTCAGATTAGAGAGGAAAGTTGTAGAAAACTGTTAGTTGTTTAAATAAATTTAATTTAAAGCTGCCAGTTGTTTGGGTCGGGTCAGAAAACTAACTTTAGATTTCTAAACTCAAAGCTTTATTTAGCTCTGACTGTTTGACAACAAGCACATTACTTCACTTACATGAGATCAGTAATGTAATCTAATGTCAGCAGGAAAATAGACATTTCAGCTAATCTAAACAAAATGTGAACAATATGCCATATTTTACAGAGTATGTCGCATCAGTCAAAAAAAGCATCATGTAAAGGAAAAAAACATATATAAGTTGTTTTGGCGAATAAGTTGCATTTATTATGCATCACTGCTGACCCGTCTTATTTATTATGCATTTATTTAATGGTCAGAACAGCTTCATTTCTCCTGGGCGGCGTGGCTTCATCTATCCATCCATCGTGGCTCGAGCCGTTCGCTCTCCAGCGTTCCTCCGCCTGCACCAGCTGAGTGACGCGAGCGCACAGGGGAGGACTGGCTGTTGCAGTTCGTCAAAATTTAACAAGATTAACACTTAAAAACAATTATTTTGCTCGACATTATAGCAAAGGTGTGTCTCAGTTGAACTTTTCCTTAATAAATGCACTTTAGTGGTCAAAACAGCTACATTTCACCTGGGTGGCGCGGTGAAATGAAGCTGTTTGGACCCTGAGCAAACAGACATGTTTCCTCCAGGTGTTCCTCCTGACTCCGCCGCCGGAGTGGGGACAAAGGTGGCTTGCAGTTCTACAGTGTCCCGTCCCCCCGCCCGCACCTTGCTGCTTCCCAGGTCCATGGATCACACGCCTCACTGCCCCCTTCCTCCCCACTCCGGCGGTGGAGGAACGCTGTAGAGCTGAATGGATGGATGAACTGATGGGTGGATGGATAGGTGGCGCACCGCCGCGGAGCCTTCTGTCAGCATGTCAGAATGAATGAACATTTCAAGCATCAGTCAAAAATTACATTATGAATATGAAAAAAAAAGACGTATATAAGTCGCAGGACTTGCAAATTTGTGCAACAAACTGTGACTTATACTCCAGGAAATATGGTATGTAGATTTATGGTTCTGACAGGGATCCACAAAGGAAACACGGGTTTAATTTTCTGCTGTTGTTTACCTGTAGGTCAAAATTCATAAAGTTGTTTAAATATACGGATTCCTGATCGAACGGTTCTTTACCTCACATTAAAATCTATAAGCTCTAAAAGCTGAAAATTTAAACTTTTTCTCTTTTCTTCTTGTTTTTAAAGTGAAGGAGGCAAAAACCTGGTGACCCTACGATTCAGCCCCGAAACGAGGTAATAATCAAGATATTAAAGAAAATAATAGTTTTAAATATTCCCCACATGCCACCCCCTTCACTGTTCATGATATACTTTCTGTTTTTTCATTTTTTAGTGACGACAAACTTCAGATAAAGTTATTCAGGTGCAGTAAACCAGTGGAAGGAGTCAGCTGATGCTATTAAAGAAATAAACTATTAAATGAAACAGATTAAAAGTTCTCCTAAAGCCGAGTCATGCGACTGACTCGTGTAAAAATACAGATTTTTCATTTAAGGACTTTTAAGAACCATCCAAAGGAGAAACATATTGTTTAGATTTTGTTTTTATGAGTATGTTACAAACACAACGTCAACAGATTTGATGAAAACTGAATATTTATCTTCTTATTTGACAGAATAACGAACAGCAGCCTCCTGCCGTCTGATGTAACCAGAATATGCAACAAACTGCTCCAAAGTCGCTCATATCTGGAGCTGGAGTAAGTTCAATTATTGCATAAACAGTCTGATTTGAATATAGCTGTGCTCGCACACATTTACATATTTATGTTCATGTTTGTTGTGTCAGGTTCTCTCACTGCTCCTTCTCTGAGGAAACCATCGAGAATCTGCTCAGAGTTTTGCCAAAGATGTTGTTGCTGCGGAGACTAAAGTAAGACTCGGTCATATTTAAATCTGCACCTTTTCCATGATCTAAATGAATCATGGATTATTTAATCTGACTGGAGTTAGAGATTAGCGATTTAGACAAAGTCGATCATTATTTACAGCAGTGTTTTTCTTACTCTGCGCTGCCTCGGACAATAAACATGAACAAAAACGACTTCTGTTCTTCTACACAGTGTAACTCCTCCCCACTTGAATATCTTGCACTAAAAACATTTAGGTTTACCTCACTCTTTATTCCAGTGCAGAAAAACATTAATCTCCAAAACTAGAAACACTCGCTACTCCGATCCCTCTGCGACGGAAACAAACTGCTCGTTTAACCTGAATCCAGCAGTGATTTCCACTGGAACATGAGATTGATTTATCATTATTGATATTTGATTCCCTCAGTGTTAGCTGCAGCATCTCGTCCACGGCTGACGCTCTGATGTTGATCAGCTGTTTGACGGACGGTCGGCGAGTCTCATCAGTGGAGCTCAGGTACGACTCACCTCATATATTCTCTACAACAGTTAAATGTGTTGTGATAAATGTCTGATGTGAGCTCTTTAGTCCTCAGAGCGAATCCTTCATTACCTTCGATGGAGTTCAAGCAGAACAAGTGAACTGCAGGTCTGTTTTAATTGAATAAAGACTAAAGTTATAGCTTTTTATCGCCCGACTCTAAAGGCAAAGGTGTGTGTGTATGTTTAGCTCTCTGCAGTGTTAGCAAAATATCTCATGAACCACTGGTCAAACTTAAATAAAACTCCCAGTAAGTAATTATTAGATGTACGTCTAGAACTCAAAAATGTTTGGTGTCACTCTAATTCAAGATGGCCACCACAGCTAACCATGACAAAAGAAGGCTATAGCCCAGTTAATTTCACACACAGTGAGCTAAAGTATGATGTGGTAGTAGCTGAGGGTCATCCTCCACCTGACCAGAACTCCTCCCATCATTTCTCTTCATGAGCTGATCCAAGTCGGAAGCCCGGGCCTGGAAGGTGGCAGTAGAGCTGTCATTGCTAACCCGAACCCGGCTGGCCCCGCCCGACCCGGATTAGGGCCGGGTCATAATAATGTGCGGGTCGGGTCGCTGTCGGGCTTTTGATTGCATCAGCGGATGCGCGTGGCTGACAATACAATTATATGGCAACATGGCTTGCGATACAATCACCAGCCGCACGCGGCCATTTGAACACACGCCGACCGGCCTTGAAAGAGGCAAAAAAGTTCAGTTAAGCTTCAGATGAACTACTGCCAGTGATCCATCAGCCCAAATGGACATTCATTCAGCCGTTGCACTCAGCGGACGCGTGCGGCCGATGACCCAGACAGGTGAGATCACAAAATATCCGACATGTCAGAGCAGGGTCCGTGTCTGAATAATGCAGAATGCTGGCAGAAGCAGCTCCGAACTTCTGCCCCCTTTACTCAGCCGAACGCATCCGCCGACCGTCAATAACTATATAAGCAGTCAAAGCTTAATTAAAAATGTCGGGGGGAGTTTTGGGTTGAACCTGTACTTACTGTTAATTCGTCGGGTCGGGTGGTGTTTGGAAATGATGGCTACGGGCTGGGGCCGGGCCAGATTTTTGAGCCCAAACGCAACTCTATGAACAAGAAGAAATGTTCAAGAAGAAAATCAGTCATTGTATTCAGCCTGTGCTTTAATCCTTCTGTTTCTGTGTGTCTGTTCACAGATTCACAGGTTTTTGTTTCAAAGGAGACGACATTGTTTTAATGAACAGGCTGCTTCAGATCCTACAGCACAATCAGCAGCTTTCTTATCTCGAGTACGAGCCATTAATAAAGCACATTATTACCCAGAATGTCACAAATATTCCTGTTTGTTTCCTCATTTTTGATGCGTCTGCCTGCAGTTTGTCTGAGGACCAGCTGGACGATGACGGGGTGAAACGTTTGGTGGATTCTCTTCCAAAACTTCACATCAGCAGCTACATGAAGTACGACGGATCTGTGGTTCGGTTGTATCTGAAGTTGTAGACGTTTGATCGGACAGGAAGTGAAAACGTTCCTGCTTGTTTTTTGCCCCTCAGCCTCAGTAAGAACAGACTGAGCCAACGGGGGCTGCTGGATGTGGTCGGCACACTTTGCACCTGCGCCAGCGTCTCTGAGGTGGACGTCAGGTGAGTCTCGCCACAGAAACAGAACAAACTGTTGAATTCTTGCGTTTGATCCGCTCCTGTCTGTGGAAACCGACCCGTTAGCTTGGGAGAGGAGCAGCGGTGTCTCGTCTGGTTCGGGCGGAACCGAGGCGCCGGACAAACCCTGAGGTGAGAATTTAAACGTCTCATGTTTTGAATGTGCAGGTTTTAAAAACTTTGTGTAGTTTTCATCTTTTTAAACAAAGGGTGCAGGGAATGTACGTTTTATATTACCTCTGTACACATTTTAAAAGATTTTTTTATTTTAATGACAACATACACGGTCATGTGTTCACACCGTGACCGCACACTCCTTCAGTTTCATCATGGAGCTCTCTGATGAGCCTTCTTACTAAGTCTGCATGCACGTCCAAGGTCAGGTTGTCACCAAGAGCAGCTCTAAGGTTTTTATTTTGGTCCAGCGTCTCAACATCTTCACCATTAGTCACCACAGGAGCAGCGATTCAAGTCTTTTCTCAAGTCATTGACCATTTCCAAGCATTTAACTTGAAAACATTCAAGTCAAATTCATTTATAAAGCACATTAAAAAAAAGCAACTGTAAAGTGCTTAACAATAAAAATTAATGGCATCAATTTAATGAAATATAATACCAAAAATTAATTAAAAGCATCAAAAGAAAAGACATAAAATACTAAATCAAATCACACTGCGTTAAAAGCCAGTGAAAACAGATGTGTTTTTAAAAGGGATTTAAAAACAGGAAGTGAACGGGCTTGTTTAATGTCGAGGGCAGATTAATCTAAAGTTTAGGACCCACGACTGAAAAAGCTGGATCTCCTCTGAGCTTCATCCTGGTTTTTGGTACAACCAAAAGCAGCTGGTCAGATGATGTCAGCGCTCAAGAAGGAACGTATGGTTGAAGTAGGTCAGAGCGATAAGAGGGTGCAAAAGGTCAACAGGAGAATTTTAAAATCTATTTTGTTACGTACAGGGAGTCAGTGAAGGGAGGACAAAACTGGTGAAATATGCTCAAACCTACAAGTTCCTGTTAAGAGCCGAGCTGCAGCATTGCAGCAATTCACAAAAGGAAGTTATCATATAGTCTTAGTTTGTACATTAGTCGTAAACATTAGCCTCAAAAGCAGACTTAGTTCGAGTCTTCCTTAAAAAAGAAGACTCACACCATCCAGTGAAGTCCACGACCGCAGGTCCAGGGTCTGGGTCATCACTGCTGAGAAGGGACAAGATGACATCAGCAAACTTTAAGATGTGACGCTGTGGATTCTGGCTGCGACAATCATTCAAAGTAAAATAAATAAGAAGTGAAATAAGAAGTGAAAGAACGCGGTCCTGAGAGGACAAAAGGACATCAGAGAGAACCTGGTTGATCCTCACCTGTGAGCAGTTCAAAAGTCCACCAACCAACGTCTTGAGTCCAGAGTCAAGACCATAAGAACACTGTCATTCCTCTGCTGAAATGTGGGGTTGAGTTAAAAGCAGATGAAAAGTCAATAAAAAGCAATTCTACAAAGGATGAATATTTTGACTGGTCTGGTTTTTAGACGAGTGTGCTCCTCTGATGATGGCTCATCACGTGCACGCTCTTAACTCCAGGTTAAGAGACCCAGAGTTGATTAAGCTCATTGTAATCAGCCTTTCTAGCGCTGAAAACTAAACCTCCATTACCGACGGAACCAGGGGCGTTTTATAATCTGTGACTGCAACACCAACCGTTTCGGAGCACACAACGCAACATCTGTTAACGTGACGAGAACCAGATGTTTTACTCATCGTTTCCTCCGTTTTGTTTTCCAGGGTCAGTAAAAGCAGTTTGGAGCACCACCATCTGCTCAGATTAGCAGAGATTTTATTAAAATGTCCCACTTTGACCAGATTACAGTAAGTACAAATTGACCTTTAGACTATTTGAAGCTTTCAGGATAAAAGTCTCCGTTTAGCTTGGGACAGTTGTGAAGTGATGAGGATTCAGATGTAGTATCTTGAGTTGCTCTCTGTTGATGTTTTGGTTTACAGATTACAGAACAACGGGCTGCAGTCGGACTGGATCCAGAACTTTGTGAAAGTTTTGAACCGCGGTCAGAGAGGACGCTCCTTCAGGTGAGAGAATCACCACATCCCTTGAACGAAACATGTTCTACACTACGCTTCTGGAAAATCTACAGTCGCTTCTTCTGGAAGCTGGTGTTGATCGACCCCAGATGACAACAAACAGGGATATTTTTCAGTTTAAGTGTTGAGGAGAGTTGGATCAGAGCCGAGGAAGCTGTGGATTTAGTGAGTCGCTGTCTGGAGGTGAACAGAAGCATTCATGCTATCAGGTGACGCTCCGAGCAGATCATCAGCAGACCCTAAATCAGCGTGTTTTAACACAAATGATGTTTATTTTAAAGGATCCAACAAAACACGCTACACGTGACTCTCAAGAACCCTGAGCCGACCTCCTCCAGGTACAGATCAGACCTTTTAATTCAAAAGTTCGCCCAGCTTTTAGAATCTCTCGTAGATCAGTGTGCAGCGTTGCTTTTTCTAAAAATGAATATTAAATGATCCAAAAATGCTTTTTTTTTAGGCGTGAAGCTGAACGTCCTGCTCAGTTCATGGCCACAAGCTTAAGGTATTCTTTCAGTTTTAAACACCTAAAGTGATCCGCAGCTGTTTAACAGCTTCATCAGAAGAACATCTGCCTTTGCAAAGTAGTATTCAGCAACAATTTGTTTTATTTTTTATGATACAAATCAAGAAGTTAAACAACCTCTGTAGGGTTGCAGTGTGGAAACCAAAGCTGAACGACAGCTGAAAGCTGCTGAAGAAGCTAAAACTGGGTTGTCAGAGCAAAGAAGTTAAAGATCCTTATGTATCGTATTTTTTGGATGCTAAGGTGCATTAAGCGAAACAAAACAATCAGATAAGTCAAACTTTATTCAACTCATTCACAATAACCACATAAAATCGATTTGAGGTCAGTAAGCACAAGTAGAATTAATACACCTGATTATAAGGCTCACTGTTGATTTTTGAGAAAGTTAAAGGATTTTAAGTGCGCCTTATATTCCGAAAAATACAGTATTTCTATGGTGAAAATATTTCTAAATAAAGGTATTTTTGAAAAGTATAAAAGTTACAAAAGCCAAAAGTCTCAGCGTCTATCTGCTGAATGAGCTAAAAGTTTTGATACATCATTGGGTAAAATAGCACCAAGTATGTAGAAGTAATTAGATTACAAACACGCACAGAAAAAAGAAACTAGTTCAGAAGTTAAATCAGATTTTACACAAATTAATTAACTTTAGAAATAGACAAAGGCTAGTTCAGACACTGAGTGCAAGCTAAAAGATGCAGAACGTTAGCTAAAAGCAATTTAAGATTAAACTAGAATCAGTATTTTGAAGCACATTTCAAAGAAAGCGAAGAAGTTAGAGATCCTTATGTATTTCTATGGTGAAAATATTTGAAAATAAAGTTAAATATTTTGAAAAGTATAAAAGTTACAAAAACCAAAAGTCTCAGCATCCATCTGCTGCATGAGCTGAACGTTGTGATATATGACTGGGTGAAATAACACCAAGTATGTAGAAATAATTAGATTACAAAGAACATAAAGAAACATAATAATTTACAAAAATAAACACAAAGATTTTGTGAAAAATGAATGCGACATGATCAAACTTATGCGAATCTTATTATTTCATAATTTAAAAACGTTTTCGCTCCAGGGGACCAGTCAAAAGTTGTTGATATTGAGTCGTAAAAATAAAAGATACCACTTTACAATAAGGCTCTAATAAATAGTTTATACATACGTTATTAATTCCTCTATAAACACTTTATAAATCATTAATAACTGCTTATTATGCATTAATTAAGGGTGACAGAGACAAAACTGACCCGTTTCTTGCCAAATAGTAAGACAAATCTGTTCACCGATATATTTACCTATTAGAAGTATTTTTTAATTTAATTTAATTAAATTTCATCTAGAGTTGTTATATTAAACATTTCAGACTAAGTTACTACCTTGTAAGCACAATAAACATTTGTGAACTTATTTCTTTAACATATAATATTGTACTTTATCACTCACTGCATTATAAGTATCTACAACTAATATTATATCCTAAAAAAAATTAGGTTTACAAAAGCTTATTGTTCTTACAAGGTAGTAACTTAGTTTGAAATGTTTAATATAACAACTCTAGATGAAATATATATAGAGGAACAGATATGGCTCACTATTTGGCAAAAAAACTGGTCAGTTATGTCTCTCTGTCACCCTTAATTAATGCATAATAAGCAGTTATTAATGATTTATAAAGTGTTTATAGAGGAATTAATAACATATCTATGAACTATTTATTAGCATCTATAAGGTGAGCCTTATTGTAAAGTGGTACCATAAGTCCAAGAGTTGAGTCCAGAACTTTATGATCTTCCCTCTGCTGTTCTCAGCCTCGTGGATTGTTCTGCACATGGAACTCAGCTGGCAGCGTTGAAGAACGTCCTCCTACAGAGTCCATCCCTGACACAGCTGGAGTCAGTTTTATTCTTTTTTATGGCACGTAAAGTCCAACAGCAACATGCCATAAAATCTCTGCTTGTTCTAATTTATCGTAGTTTTTCCGACAACACACTGGGTCCAGATGGAGCTGAGTTCCTGTCTCTTCTTCTGCCCTTGTTGCCAAACCTCACCACCTTCAGGTGAACATTTTCACACCCAAACGTTTGGTCACGGTGAGTTTTATGTGCATGTCTGAACACCTTGCGTCCTCTGCAGTGTTGCAACCAAAGAGAGGTCTGAGTCTGTGGTGGAGGAGCTGGCTCCGGTCTTCCTGCAGTCCACATCCATTCAGTGCTTAAAGTGAGGAATAAAAACACAAACATGTTTTTTTTTTTATCTTAGGGATGCACGATATTGGATTTTTGGTCGATATGTTAAAACTTATTTGGCCGATACCGATATTTTGTATACTTTCCTTTGTCAGAACATAGCCCTCTTATTTAGGCTTATTTGCTACAAAAATTGTGTAACAGCTGTAAGAGCTGGTGACATATATTCAGTAACAGCCATATGATATGCAGAGCACTTTAACTTATATTAAATGAAAAGTGTTAAATGTTATTTATTAGCATTAGTCAGCTGTGATGCTGTCTCACTTGTGGAGGTCTGTTCCACGTTCTTAGCTGCAGTGTGGGATCCTCTGCACTCCTGTGCATGAAGGAAAGACTTTTAAAGTTCAAAGTTTTTGTCTATCCATTGTGCTATAAGACTAATCATGCTAACGGGGCTAACACGACGTCCAAATGTCTGTGGTAAAACTCACCCAAGTGCTATCGGCTGTTAGCTTCTCACTGATGTCGGAAATGACGGCTTGTCATTCGGCTAACGTTACGTCGGAAAAATATCTCTGACTGGGGAAGATGTAGCGAGGCTCAACGTTGTCCATAAATCTTCGGAATCCAACGTCATCACCAACAAAAAATAAAACTTCCACACCGCCGATATCTTGACTTCTTCCTCTCCACTGTGACATCAGGTGGGCGCGCGTGACGTCATCGCGTTGTGCTGGCGCTGCAGGCATCCTTGTCACTGGGCTGTCATACAAAAACAGCATCTTTTATATCGGTTAGTTATTTTGATGGAATGTCCGATATTGAACTTTGACGCTAATATCGTCCGATACCGATACCATGCCAATAATATCGTGCGTCCCTAATTTATCTCATTAGTTTCTGGGTCAGGATCAGACTGTGTGGTTGTTGTTGAAATGACTAACAGCCACAAGCTATGACTTCAGGTTATTTCCTGTTTTCATGCTTAATTAAGGGCGGCTGGGGCTGAGTGGTTAGAGCAGACGTCCTCCAATGCAAACTTTTAGATATGACTCTTTGAGCACCAGGACTTGAATCCGTTAATCAGAGAAGTGGTTCAGACCTGAGAACTGGACCTCTGTGGATCAGCAGGAATCCCAGGACCTGGTGCACGAAAACAGCTTCAGTTCTGCTTTGATTTGTCTTTTATTTAGAAATACATTTGAAGTGACCCTTCACCTTACACAAACAGTTGCTTCTGAAGTCATTGCTGATGTCTTTCCATCGTGGCATTGTTTTGACGCACTGTGAAACGTCACACGTTCTTCATTCTCCGGCTAAGAGCGAGTATGTTATAAATGTTATTGTTTAAAACAAGTCTTTGTGTCTGTCCTGAAGTCTCTCAGGTCACCTGATCAGCGGCGCTGCAGCTCAGAGTTTGGCCCGACTGCTGCCTCGTCTTCGATCTCTAAAGTAAGCACACGAAACGACGTTAAGTGTGTTGGAGTTGTCGGGTGTGTTTGGACCTTTAACCTATGAAACACCAAAATGCTCAAAATGAAATAAATAAATAAAGCATTTTGAAATAAGTATCTAAGCTCATTATTATGAAAATGTTTCATTTTTATTCTTTTATTTCATAATTGTGTTTTCCATGATGGTTGGTTTATTTTTTTCATAAATCTGTTTTTCATGATAGCTTATTTATTTCATAATGCCACTTTTCAGCAGAATGACATCAGCTGTCAATCAACGTCAGTGGGCGTGAAGGTCCAACCCACTGACGTTGATTGACAGCTGAAATCATTCTGCTGAAAAGAGTCATTATGAAATAAATAAGCTATCATAGAAACCAAAGTTATGAAGTAAAAGAATAAAAACATAAATTATTCTTGTTTCATCATGTTTTATTTATTTATTTAATTTTGAGCATTGTGATGTTCCATATTAACGTGCCGGGATCATGGTGTAAATGTGTGAAACGTGTCGTGGTGTGCTGCAGTCTGTCCCGCTGCGTGTGGTCGGCAGAGGGGGGGCGACGGCTCGTCGAGGCTCTGAAACTGTGCAGACGTTTGGAAGATCTTTGGTAAGACACGGACTCTGTGTGTACATGAAGTCTGGATGAGTTTGAGACAAACGTGTGTTTGTGGTTCATCCCAGCCTGGACGCAGCGTCACAGCTGGACAGGAACAGCTGGGTGTGTTTGGCTCAAGCTGTGAGGAACATTACCTCCGTACGAAGTCTCAGGTAAGAACCGTCTCCTAAGCTGCAGCAGTCTCCTCTGACTTTGTTCTTTTGCTTCAAAGTGGGCCGGTACTGACCGGTACGCAGTACCGGGTCTTTTGTCACAGTTTCACTGTCAACATCTGTAAGTCACTGTCGATTCATAAAAAGTGGAGGTTTTTAAAGTGTGGAAGAGTTAGTGGTTGGTTGCTCCACACATTTTTCTTTTGTCTTTTACACATTTTAAATGTCTGCTTTAAAAATAAACATTTAACACATTTTATTTTTTAACACCTTACATCAACACACCCCCTTTTCTTCTTTGCTCTTAGGCTGTGTCCTCACTGCAGTCAAACGGGTCCGAGTCCAATATTATAATTTTTTGCCCCCATGTGACCCATATCAATTTTTTTCATGACAGTCTGAGTGGGGCATAAAAAAAAAAAAAAGTTCAATACAAAAAACGTTCTGAGTGGAGCAAGTCCAATTTTTGTCTAATCCAATTCAAGTCTTCATATGTGATTCCGAATCAGGTCCATATCGATGTTTTTCTAAGCGACTTCACCGAACGCTCGTCTCATTTCATTCCACTTTTACGTCAGCGCTGTCGAGGTAAGCGGATCGATTCAAGTGTTAATAATGATCCCAACCTCACGCAGGTTAAATCACGTCTTCAGCTGCAGAATAGAAGAACAGCTGCTTCATTTTTGTTCTTTTAATTTTTCATGTCCTGAACGAATCTACTGCAGCAGATGATGCTAACGCTAGTGTCGGACCGTATCGATGCTAATGTGACGTGATGGATGCTTGAGCTTGTTTTCACCTAGAAGAGCCGTCAAGAAGCCAGATTTAATGCAAACACTGGACCAAACAAGCATGTCAGATAGTTTTTTTTATTGGTTTCTGATACACAACCATTAGAATCACACATGCTAACATGTGTAGCGTCCATATTTACTTACGTCTGCAGAAGAATCGGATCTGAGCAAAAATCATAATTGATCATTAAGAGCTGCAGTGTGAACGTAGCATTACTTTTTTCCTCACGTCACTTTTTACAATTATATCATTATAAAGATGTTGTCTCATTTTGTATAAAAATATATCAGTATTTTATTAAATCTCAATATATCGCCAAGTCCTAAATCAAAATACAACATGTTGATGTATCATTGGCACAGAGAGGAGGACTGTTTCTGTAAATAAACAGAAAGTCTGTTGGGAAAAAGTTTGGCTACATTCAGGTCTAGAGGTTTTGGGTTGGGGGTGTAGACGACAGCCACTTTGGGTTCACGTTTCCTGGTAATCAGCCCGGTGCTGATATAGACAGACTGTTGAGATGTTTAATGCTAAGCTCATCTCATATCACAGATATTTTTGAGTTTATTCCCTAAAACAAAAAATGTGAGGGAAAATCCTCCCGGACCAGTTCTGTCATTTTTCTTTGAGATGATGTCATCGTGTGGACGATGAGTCCTTGGTCAATAATAGTTGTGTTTGTGTGCTAAAGGTTGAACGAGATTGTACAAACCTCGGGAACATCTGAAGTTGACATAGTCCTGGATCTCCTGGCAGGTTTGGAAGGACTCACGCAGATGAGGCAGATCGAGTGAGTATTTCATGTCTCAGCTGTTTGCTGCACGTTTGGAAAAGGCATCAATCGGATTTCAGTCGTTCTTAAAAACAGGATGAGCTCAGTCATGTTGCTGTGTCATCAGGCTGGATGGATGGAGGATGGCTGAGAAAGGGACAGAACAGCTGATTGCAGTCCTCCCAAACTGGAAGGAGCTCAGGAAGATCAGGTAACAAACAAATTAAATGGGTAAACAGCTCGAGGGGAAGTTAATGTATTTTAGTTTATTCAGTGTGTCAGGTGGAGTTCAGGTATCTGGGCGTCTTGTTCTCGAGTGATGCTAGGACGGAGCGGAAGATGGATGAATGGATCGAGGCCTCATTTTCAGTAATGAGGGTGTTGCTTTGGTCTGTCTTGGTGAAGAAAGAGTCGAGGCAAAAGGCAAAGCACTGGATTTACTGGTTTGTGTACGTTCCAACCCCGATCTGTGGTCATTGGGTTTGGATCAGAATCGAAAGAACCAGATCCTGGATCCAAGCCACTGAAATGAGCTTCCTTTGTAGGGTGGGGGTGGGGGCTCAGACCTAGAGATCGGGTGAAGAGCTCCATCATCCGGGGGGAGCTCAGAGTAGAGCTGCTGCTCCTCTGCATCAGAAGGAGTCTTCTGAGGAGGTTCATCTGATCAAGATGCCTCCTGGACACCTCCCTTTGGAGGATTTTCAGACCTGTGCCACAGGGAAGACCCAGAACTCTCTGGAGGGACTTTATATCCTGTCTGGTTCAGCAACACCTCAGGTTCCTCCACTAAGAGCTGGGGAGTGTCGCTGAGTAAAGGGAGGTCTGGGTTTCTCTCCTGGACCAGAATACAGATAAATGGTAGAAGATGGCGAAATTGAATAAAACATTACTCCTCTTTATAGTCTAATGTTTTCTGCTCGGGGGTCAGTGTGGTCCCTTAATCCCAAGGCTGCAGGCTGTGTCAGGAAGAGCATCCGTCACAGTTCTCACATCTTTTCTGTGACTTTGCTCACAAGAAAGCAGTCAAAAAATAAAAACACAAACCAGTGTTTGTCTGGGGCTGGTCTTCTCGTGATCCTGTTGTAAACAAACTGATCAACTTTTGTACCCAGACGTTGACATTTTCTACCAGCAGGGTACAAAACTGCAGCATATAAATGATCCTAGAGAGGCTCAAACTCCACACGACCATCAACATCATTACATACAAAATGTGATCAACAAACATTTTTTAAAAACAGGAAGTACAGGTGCAGGTAGCACTGGTGTCCCCCTGCTTTTATCTCACATGTTCTTGGGTTTAAATGAGATTTTCTGTTAGTTTTGGTGTTTTTATCCTCCAGTCTCTCCAAGAACCTCATCAGTGACCCATCAGGAGAGAAGCTGCTCGACGCTTTGAGGAGCTGTGGCCTCCTGGAGGAGCTCCAGTAAGAACCAACGCCACCTGCAGCTCAAACACCACAGTTCAACTTCTCAAACAACAAACCTGTTCACAAGTTATAACAAACTTATACTTTCCTGGACAGCTTATTTTTATCAGACATGCTTTATTTCTCTTCCAGTCTGTCCAGTAACCGTCTTGGAGACGCCTCTGCAGCCAGAATGGCTCTTACTCTCCCGTCATTGACTCACCTCACTGTGCTGGAGTAAGTCAGCTTCAGCTGAATTATCTGCTTTATTTCTTCTTCATGAATTAATCCAACGTCTTCTCCAGCATTTCAGAAAACCAGATTGGAAAAGAAGGCTCAGCCAGTCTGTCCGAAGCAATAACGAGCTTAAAAAACCTGAAAAAGATTCAGTAAGATCCTGTTTTTGATATTTTTTACTGTAAGAAGCCAGACGTCTGTCTGATTCTTCGACTGAATCTTTGATTTCAGCCTGACGTCTGTTGGGACTTCAGAGCTGAGCGACGTCGTGGCCAGTTTGGCTCACTGTGCCCTCATACAGGATGTGGGGTAAATAAAACAATCACAACAAACCGTAGAATAAAAATGAACTCATTCCAAATACACTATATAAAATTAACAAATATTTTAATTTAAATAATAAATGATTTATGAAGTTGATGTGTTTGGAAAAACGATTATTTACTCATTTTCTAGACTTTTTTGGGTAATTTTTAAATTATGTTGTAGATCGTGTCTGAATTAGTTTGATAAATTGCAACGTGAGCTTTTAATCTACTGTATTTTTTGGATTATTAGGTGCATTAAGTGAAACAAAACAGTCAGATAAGTCAAACTTTATTCAACTTATTCAAAGTAACTCTCAACATTGTTCAGTTGTACCACATAAAATCGTTTCAAGGTCAGTGAGCACAACCAGAATTAATACATAATCTGCACTGGATTATAAGGCTCACTGTCAATTTTTGAGAAAAGTAAAGGATTTTAAGTGCATCTTATAGTCCAAAAAATATGGTAGTTTTTATTATTTGTAGCTCTTAGAAAGTATGTTGTTCATTCTTTGTAATAAACAAAACCAGAGAACACAAAGAGCAGAGATGATTTAAACAGAGAATCTAAGAAAAAACTTCTTTGTCTCTTTAACACCTGTTCTTTCAGTCTGGGCTGGAATAACTGCGGCGACGACGTCGCTCTGCAGCTCACCAAACTTCTGCCTTTCTGCCTCCAGCTGACTCGCATCGAGTGAGTTTAAAACTTTTGCATAAACACTCTGCTGGGACCAGAATCCAGATGTTGACCCATCATAGACAGATGTGTGATTCTTATTCAGTTATACCTTTCAGCTCTGTTACATTCTAGTAATACTAATTAAACTGTACAGGTGGAACTTCGACATGTTTGACATAAATGCTGTGGGGGGTGGGCCAGTGTTCAGTGGTAAACCGTTAATCTCAGCTGATAGAGCTGTTGCCTCTCAGCAAGAAGGTCACCAGCTCAAATCCCGGCCACGGACCTTTCTGGGTGGAGTTTGCATGCTCTCTCTGTGCATGTGTGGGTTTTCTCCAAGTACTCCGGTTTCCTCCCACAGACCAAAAACATGCATGTTAGTCTGATTGGTAACTCTAAATTATCTCTAGGTGTGAGTGAGAGAGTGAATGGTTGTTTGTCTCTGTGTGTCCCTGTGATGGACTGGAGACCTGTCCAGGGTGTCCCCCACCTCTCACACAGTGATAGCTGGACATGAGCATCAGTGACTCACTCGCACCTAGGGACAATTTAGAGTTACCAGTCAGCCTAACATGCATGTTTTTGGTCTGTGGGAGGAAACCGGAGTACCCGGAGAAAACTCACACATGCACAGAGAGAACATGCAAACTCCACGCAGATAGCCCTTCATCTGGGATTTGATCCAACAACCTTTTCACTGAGAGGCAGCAGCTCTACCAACTGCGCCACCATGCCATCTCCTCACAAAGTCTTTCTTCAAAACAAAAAAAGCCAAGAGAAGACATGCTTTGAAATTTTTACACTATATCTTGATTTAACAACTTGTTTCTTGATATCAACTTATTTTCATGTTTATCATTTTGTTCTTCTTGTTCTTGTTCCTTATCATCTTGGTCTTCTTGTTCTTCATCTTCTAATTCTTTTTCATTTTGTTCAAGTTATTGTTCATCTGATTCTTCTGGTTCTTTTTGTTCTTGTTGTTCTTGTCCTCATTCTTCTTATTTTCTTGTTCTTGTTTTTGTGATGCACACAGTCAGACAGGTAATAAAAACCCTGGCCTCTCATTCCTCCCGGGCTTCGACCCATTCTGTGAAGATGACAAAATTTAAATCCCTTAAGCTTCACCGTCAGACAGAACAGGAAGTGTGTGAACGATCCTGTTTCAGCTTTAACTGTAAATGGTAAAATGTGTGTGTGCTGCTTCAGGAGGTGAGTGTTTCTGTGTTCGTCTTCTAGTCTGGAGTGCAACAGTGTGAGTGTTTCTGGAGTGGAGGCCCTGGAGGGAGCGATGAAGTCCTGCCCCGCTCTGCAGCTCATCAGGTGAACGTTGAGCTCTCTCACCTGCTGGTGAAGATCTGTGATCTGTTAATGCTCACTTCATCTCCTCCTCTGTGCCCTCAGGCTGTGGAGGAACCGGGTGTCAGTGAGAGAAGCTCAGAGCTTCAGTCTGAGAGAGAGGAGGCTGAACTTCTCCTCCACCATCATGTGATGGGTTCTGCAGAACCAGAGGTGACCCGCTTCAGCCACAAGCAGAGCTAAAATGTCTTCCTCTGCTCAAGAAGTGTCTTTACTTCTGATTTTAGGAACTCTTCCTCTTCAATGTTTCTGCAGGCTCGCCGAGCGTCAGGAGAACTGGAGGGTTTTTTATTCAGCGACTCAAATTTCACGTTTCCTTTAGTTTAATTTTTAAACTGTCGTACGGACAAAAGACGTTTTTTAATGTCAAACTGGAGACTGTTTCACAACAGTCAGCTGCTGAAATGATCTGATGCTGTCTTTTCTGTTTTGTTTTTACTCTGGTGCCAAAGTCTTTATTTTATTTAACTTAACGCTAGGCCTGTCACAATAACAAATTTTGCTGGGCGATTAATTGTCTCAGAAATTATTGCGATAAACGATAATATTGTTTGAAATGTGACAATAATTAGTAATTATTGTCAAATTTAAGAAGAAATGTTTAATTTGTTTTGCATGTAGTACCTTTTTTAGACCACCGGATGGCAGTACAAGACTGTTTGAACCGAAGGATGGATAGTGAGGGAGTGAGCAGCGTGTCTCTTTAAGAAAAATGGGAGGCGCTTTGGAGCTTTGACAAGTCGGAGGGTCCCCCCCGAGGTTGACCTGTTAGTTTAGCTTAGTAAAAATACATAAGAACATCTGGTATTAACATGGAACATCTGAGAAAATATTATAATCATGTAATGATTTACTTAATACTCAGTATGTGACCAAAAAGAGCTGCTTCAAGACTAGGAAAAGTTAACAGTGTTTATTCATAAAATTTTAAGTCAACAGTAGTGCTGCAACTTGGCTGGGAGGGACAGGAACCCTAGAGAGTAAGGACAAGAGTTAATATGATGGTTTGGATCCTTGAGTCTGATTCAAGATGATGTTTGTCTCTTACTATCAGAGGATCTGGTCATTGCATGGGTGAGGGTCCAATAGTTCCAGTAGTCACAAACGAGGAGGTCCCAGAAAAGTTGCATGCATTGGTGGGCAGGTGGTGGAAAGCAAGGAACATTTGGTGGAATCACTCGGAGGCTTTAACGATGAAACCAGGGAGGTCCAGGGCTCAGGAGAAACACAGGAGTCAGTGCTGAAACACGTGACACAAGGCTTTAGTTTTTACAAAACACAAAGAGGCCAGGAACACAACGGCTGGTAGGCAGACAATGCACCAGTGTCGGATTGAAGTAATCAACTGCCATTTATACTCCTACAGCTCATTAGGATAATGGTCCGCAGGTGTGAGCCTGTTGGCGTCATCTAGTGTCGAAGAGCTGTAGGGAAAAACTGGAACTCCTACAAATTGTGTGAGAAGTAGTCCTAAAACAACCAACTCATTTATACTAATCTCATCAATTTGGAAACAACTGATTGTTAAAAGTCCTGAAAAAATAAAAAAGCATTGAATGCCCAGCGTTTCTTAAAGAAATGTCTATCACCCTTCACCCGCCACTTTTCATGCCAGTTTTAAACAAAATTTTATGTTGAAATCTGTCAAAATTTCAGTCAAAGCTCAGTATTTGTAAACTGATTGGGGTATGGCCAATTTTGTGTTGGCTAAGGTCAACTAACTGTGGCAGCTATCACAATGGGGCTGCTACTGGTAAACCCAGTGGTGCAGGCAGGCAGTGACTCAGGAGAATGATTAAATAAATAATTTATTTACAAGCAAAAAGGCTGACAGGGCAGAAAACTTACATACAATAAATAATCCAGGGATTTACAGGAAGCAGAACATAGCCAGAAGACATATAGCAATGCCAGGACAAGGGGTAAGACAAACACACAGGCTTAAATACAGACACTAACGAGAACTAACGTGTCAGGCTCACACAGGTGTGGAGAATTGAGGTAATGAGACACAAGGGTGCAGGACAGAGACTAAGGGTCAGGAGGGCACAAGACATAAACACAACACAAGATGGAGCCAAACACCAGGAAACAAACCCTACAGCAATCATCTTGAACTGACTGGGTTGACTCCAAAAGCTAATCAGCTGCAGAGGAACATCCAGTGATCACTGACGAAGAGTTCAATTATATAACATCTGGCGGTTCAAGAGATATTTTGCTAACAGTATAAACATCTAAACGCACAGACATGGGCAAAACATTATCTCCCTTTTGCCTTTTGGTGGCATGTGATGAACATTTCATTTAACCTAAAAAATGTCTGAACAAATTAAAGGGTCAGACGTCTCATACTGTTGTGAAACTTGAGTATACTTCTTGTTTTTACTGCATTTTTAGCACCAAACAATAAATATTTCGTTTTCTATTTATTCTAATTGTGGTTGTAGGAAGCCACTTTGTACTGACGCAGAGGCCACATGAGTGAAAAACACAATTGATCACAGATCTGCAGTGAAGAGTTTGCTCCTCTCATGGTCATTATAGGTTGTGGTCTCTGCAGGAGAACTTATTTATTTCTGCTGTTTATGGTAGAAAAAACATTAATTCTATATTTTTATATTTGTTTTGTGTGTGGAACAAAAAGGAGATAAAATGTGACTAAAGTTTAATGTAAAACGACAACACTGATTACTGACTGTTGTGTCTAATGTTATGACTGTTTGAAATTTGTATTGCATCATCTTTTTTATTTGACACTGGATAAATTATGTTGTTTTTATTAACTAAATTATCTCTGAGTTCTATATTCTTTTTTACAAAACACTTCTTGAGTTTTCTTGTCTCAATTTTCATTGATTTGCTGGTTTGGTGTTCATTTTGATTGGTCCTGTTGTTTTAGAAACATCTTTTACTTAAAATGCACAGAATATGATAAAATTATATATATTTTTATCTATTAGAATCTCTGACAACCAGTTTTGCTTTTTTTTCAGAATGCACACGAGTCAATTCATTAAAGTTTGTTTGTTTGAAACAGAAATAAGTATTTTAAACATTATTAAGAAAGGTTATTAGTTTATTCAGAGCATTTCCTTCTGTTTGCCCCAACCTTGTTTGTAATTCACTAGTTCTTGTGAAACTGAAGAAATAAACCAGCAGCTGTGATTTAAAACTTTGTATGGATTCAAATAGCACCCCCTTGTGGTCTCAACTCCCCGACATGAACACAACTAAAAACTAGAGAAACGTGAAAATGCAGTGAGAATAATTTCTGCTGGGAGCTGCTGAAGAAGCTGAAATGTGTAGAAAAAGCTGCAGAGAACAGAAATGTAGCCGAATAAACTGAAATAGGCAGAGAGAGGTTGTGAATAGATTACAAACAACAAGCTGAAATTTGCAACAACAAAAAAAAAAGTGGCTGAAGGGAGCATAAAATGTTGAAATGATTAAAAGAAATCACAAATAACAGAAGTTAGCAAAAACACCTAGTAGCTGAAAAAGTTTAATTTAGCAGAAATAAACTGAATGTAGCATAAAATATAAAATTAGAAGAGAAGGAGCCGAGAATAGAAAAAAAAGCTGAAATTAGCAGAAAGTAACTGACAGAAGCACAAGCTAAAAACATTAGGAAAAAAAGCCACAAAAGGTGGAAAGAAGCTAAAAAACAATGAGCATAAAAGATTTAAACAGCTAAAAGGTTTGAAGGATGTGGAGCTCCATTTGTTTTCAAAGAGAAAAACATGTCCGACAAGGCGAAATATTTCAAAAAGGTAAATTGCACAAATACCAGAAGTCGGAGCAGGAATGTCCTGAATGAGTCACTCAATAATATAATAAAAATATTATTATTATCCATCCATCCATTATCTTTACCCGTTTATTCCATTTTGGGTCACGGGGGTCGCTGGTGCCTATTATTATTATATTAATACTAATTATCTTGTTGGTCTGTTTGTTTCTTGTTTCCATATTAAAGAGCTGAAACATTGATCCGTGAGCCCCAGACAATTTTTTTACATCAAAAAGTTTGTCCTTTAGCTGGGAAGCATTTGATCCAACTGATGATGCGCCATTTTCTATTTTTACTCAAATACGATTGATTTTAGCAACGAGACGTTGAAAAACGACTCCACTGACCTTTTTATTTATAGGAAGTGTTACAGTGAGCAAATCCCAGGGGTAAATATTTAATCAGGGCTGCCATCATTTCCCTGCTTCAGTTTTGGACCATATTAAAGAGACTGAAGAGAACCGAATGGGATGTGTAGGCGTTATGAAGAGTCAATGTCTTACCTGTTGTAGATAGCTCTTTAACCTCAATTTGGACAAAAACTGTTTTTATTGATTGAATTTAACATATTTTACAGATTAACCAAGTTATTTATCATCACACTGTTATTCCAGCAGAAATCTTCCTGCAGGAAGTGCTACAGCCAGCTGCTGCTGCTGTTATTTGTGCGTGTGAAAATCTCGGTGTAAAAAAATTGTTATGAGAAAGTTTGAGTGATGCAAAGGTTTATAAAGTAGCGTTTGAACGAACCACTATAAACTGTGGAGCTGTTCAGGGCCCTCATCTCGAGTGTGTTCAGACTAGCTCATCAATGAGGTCAGAATTAAACTCCTCAGCAGGTAAGATATTAGGTACATAATACAGCCTGGTACATGCAGTGTACACAACTGGCACATAAAAGTGTACTTACTTACATGGTACAGATTTGATACCTTCATGCGTATTTATCTACAACATATATGTCCCTAGTACCTACATGAATATGCACATCAGGTGTTGAGAAGGCAACTGCTGGAACACATTTGGGGGTACTTACTGGGAATAAACATGGTAAGTACAAAATACAAAATGACTTTCAAATACAGCCTGCTCCCTGTGGGTACCCTATAAGTAGGTATGCAACTTGAAGGTGTATACCCTGTAAATACTAATGTAGATACCACATACATACTCTGCAAGTACTAGGTATTTACCCAGTATGTACCAGGTTTGCGCACTGTAGGCACCCCTCTAGACACCAGGTATTTACTCGGTGCATACCCCTGTAAGTAGCAGATAGTAACAGACACCCAGTAAGGACCTCTGTAGGTGCAGGTATGTACCCTGCTGACTGTAAAAAACAGGTATTTACCTTGCAAGTACCTCCTGTAGGTACTAGTACAGAAAAACAGCAGATTACATAATCTATTCCGGTCCCAGTAGACAACATGTAAGTACCTTGTAAGTTTACCTTTTGTACTCATAAATATCCCTGGATATGTCCCTGGTACCTAGTTTGTATACCCTGAAGGGGTGGTACGCTATCAAATACCAAATATGGTATTGTTTATAACATATTTAACAGATTATCCAGCTGATCTACACATACTGGACAAACTGAAATTAGGAAGTTATATTTTACTTACTACCATTAAAAAAAAAAAAAAAACCGGAAGCACCTTTCTTCGATTTGACTTTTATTTTGAAGGTCTGAACGCCCGTTTTCCGGTATGCGGTCATCACCGTCATCTTGACTGCTCCATCAGTCTGTGCGGCTCAGAGCAGGCTGCACAGTCCGCGCGCACGGAGGACGGTTTGTGCGCCTCCGCGGATGCTCCTCCAACATGCCAACAAGACTCTCCACGCACTTCTAGAGACAAAAGTCACATTTCAAACATTTTACTTTTTGTTTCTTCTTCACTGCCAGAAGTAACCAGATCTCACGTGGCTGAGAAGTTGTTGGTCCTTCACTGAGGTAAGTCTGAGTGCGTGCGTGTGCGTGTGTGTTTCAGACGCGGAAGGGTGCTGTGGAGAAAATGTGACATTTTGATAGAGAGACCTCAGGAAACGCGTCACACAGGGACAAGTTTGGACTTTTATTTTTATATATGTTGACTCGTGTCTGATGATTATTGTTGACATCCTCACCTCTTCTGTCCTGATGGAGTCCAGAGCAGCAGACAGGAGGTGTTATTAGACCTAATGAGAGAGTGCACCTCAGACATCCAGGTCCTGACTCTGACCCAGGTCTGACCTGGACCTGAAGGTCTTGTTGGACACAACATGGGGCAGTTTGGAGATCTTCAGACCCCAAAAATAAAAAATCCAGAGAAACATCAGATTTAGTGTTTAAGCAGCTAAAACCACATTTCATGCATTAGCTCTTTTTCTCATCCTGCTTTGCCTTTTACATTTATTTCTTGCCCGTCTGCCTCTTCATTTATCAGCCGAAGCGCTCAGGAGAAGCAGCAGGTGTGAGGAGAAAGCCGGGCTTATCTGTCAGTCCTTGCAGGACTCCTCAGAACCCCCTGAGGGACCAGCAGACGGTCTGGGAACACACGACGGGGAGAGGCTGTAGTGTTTTCAGAACATCACAACCTCCAGTGTGACATCACCAACACAGGAGGAGCACGCTGGTCATGACACATTGTCTCTTAGCAACAGACCGCATCCTTTCAACGCCGCTCCGAGAACAAAACCACCTTTAAGGACACGGAGTGCTGTTTGCTTTCCTTCTTGTTGTTTTAAAGCAGCCGAGGAGCCGTTTCCGACTAAAAGCAGCTCGGAGACTCAAGAAAGATGTTTCTGCTTCTGTTCATCTCTTTCTGTTTGAGTGGTTTGGCTTTGATCTGGTTTAAACACTGCAAGTGTGTGTATGTGTGTGTGACAATTAATCCATGCTATGACTGTGGCCAAACCCACAGTCCATTTCCTGTGGATTTCTAAACAGCCGAAGGGTAAAAACAAAGTCCACGTTCTTTCGGTTTTTTGGACTCACCAGGTTCTCAAATGATTCAAATTTAAACTCATAATCAAATACACACCACAGATTTCAGCGCCTGATCCAACAGAACCTCCTTCAGCAGCAGAACCCTCAGTGGTTCCTTGTCTCAGCCTCTCTCCTGGTTCTGGAGGAATTCTGGCCCACCCTTCTTTCCATCATTGCTTCAGTTCATTGAAGGTTCTGTTAAACTCTTTGAAGGTCCACCACAACATTTCAGTCAGGTTGAGGTTCTGGACTCTCACTTGTCTTTGGTTCTGCTCTTTCTGACCTGTTCTGTTGTAGATCAGCTGCTGTGTTTGGATTCATGGTTCTGGACCCAGTTTGGTCCAAGCTTCAGCTAGATGGACTCACATTTGACTCCAGAACCCTTTGGTCTACAGAGGAGTTCCTGGTCCACTCAGTGACTGACAGGTGCCCAGACCATCAGCCACCACCACCATACTGAGAGCTGGGAGGAGCTGTTTGCTGCAGTGCATTCTGGGTAAACATCTGTCCTCTGGTCTGGTTCTGGTCCAGAAGTCTTGTGGTTCCTTCAGATGAAACAGTCCAAACCTAAGTCGAGCTGCCATGTTTGTTAGAGAGAAGAGGCCATGACCTTTGGCCTGCCGACTGAGGCCTGTAGAGTCACTGCACGGTCTGACCTTCAGGGTGAATCAGCTGTCTGAAAAGTATCCACGGGTGAATCAACTTTCTCTCTGTGGAACAATGGATTCCAAATGACCTTTGACCCTTCCCAGATTGACGGGCAGCAGCAGCTGCTTCTCTGAGGTCATTGCTGATGGCTTTCCATCTTGGCGTTGTGCTAACGCACACCTGTATGCTCCAGAGCAGCAAAACCTCCTGGCTGATCCTGACCCTCTAAGATCCAGAAGCAGCCGGCCTGGATCTAGTTTTTCACTCACAGCTTCAACATTTTGGTTTCATTTTTTAATGAAAATTAAATTGTGGTAAAAATCAAGTGTGAACGATGAATGACTGCTGAAACTTACTGAAGAAGCTGTAACCGAGTTGTTAAAGCTAAAAGAAGCAAAACACCAGCTAAAAGCTGACAGAATGAGTAAAATACTACAAAATACAATACAACAAAATTGGCTAAAAGTAGCAAAATAGAAATTACCCCAAAAAAGTAACCAAAGTCTGAAAGCTAAATTTATTAAACTGTCCTCTAACAGCTAGAGTCAGCAATAAGCTAGCTAAGAGCTAAATGTATGAAAATGGTAGCTAGAAGCTTAAAATAGCAAAAAGCTAGTAAAAAACACATTATGAAAATGGTAGCTTGGTATGAAAGATATGAAAAAGTGGCAGAATAGTAGCTAAAAGCTAAAAGTAGACAAATAGTAGCTAAATGCTAAATGTAGAGGAATAGTAGCTAAAAGCCAAAAGTAGCAAAAGCTAGTAAAAAGCTCAAGACTGGCTAAAACCAAAAAATAGCAAAACACTAGGTAAGAGCTAAAGGTGGTAAAACACCAACTTAAAGTATGAGAAGGATAGCTAGAAGTTAAAACAGCAAAAGGCTGGCAAAATCATAAAGTAGCAGAACTAAAGCTCATCTGTGAAACTTTATTTTTAACAATATTTCTATTTTAGCTTTTAGCTAGTGTTTTGTCTGCTTTAGTATCTTGCTATTGTTTTTTCTGTATTATCTCTGCCAGTGTTTCATTTGTTTTAGCTTTTTGTTAGTGTTTTGTCTATTTTAGCTTTTTACTAGTGTTTCATTCGTTTTGGCTTTTTGTTATTGTTTTGTCTGTTTTATCTTTTTTTCTAGTGTTTTGTTTGTTT